GGCTTTCGAAAAACATGATCGTAGGGAAGTTTCATAGAGGAATCATAGAAAAGAAGAAAGTAATAAAACWAGCTCTTGAATCAATCAGAAACCACAAAAGAACGAGTTTATTTAGAAAAGTGAACGTTGCGGCGTTGCGGTATTTATTTAGAAGTAGTGTTTATCTTACGACGCCTGATTGGTAGGGATTCTTTTCACTGTTTAAGGTGCGGTTGCTCAAGAGGACAGAGATACAGTAATTACCCCCTGTATTGGGAAAAATYGCTGCATAGTTTACCATGACATGAATAAGCTGATGAGGTTTTGGAGATTGCAAGTCCTCTGGRATGAAAATCGTACATAAAATAATCTTTAAACCAATTTTTTTTTATCTACTTTCATTTCTACAGGCGAACATGAAACATTTCAAGTTGGATGAATACTGTACAAAGGGAGTAAATAAAATTATCCATGATCGTACGTTTAAATGTAAATTGCATACAAACGATTCGTTCAACAAACCCCAAATGACTAATATACTACAATGTCTTAAGCCTAATAAGATATTGAAAATGGAAAACGTTTTTTTTTCTCCACAAAACATGAAAGATGAAAGAAAGTACAATTGATGAGAAACTGATATTGATTCAGAAGTATCTTTTGTTTATTTTCAGTAAATAATCGACAGTGAACGTGATTGGCACGAAGTAYTAAAATAGCATTTCTAGGAGTTATGTTTCAAAAAACATGGTGAATTTAATAAAGCTCAGTGCGGAAAGAAGCTCAAGTACTAGTGCTCGAAAAAGAAAGATTTCAAGAGTCTTTTCTCATATCTTTTGACGACAACTTTAAATTAAACTTCAAACGTACATAAACGGGGCGATCCCATATATCAATGCAATGATGATATTGACTGATTTTAAAGCGTACATTTCAAATTAGCGGGCACTAGAACTTTGAGAATTCAACATTTAAATTTCAATCTATAATAAATGGGTTCGTAAAATTCCTGTTTTGTGCAATATGCTTATCAAAAGTCATGCTTTTATTAAAAAGATTGACATTCCGCAAACAAAYTGTACAGTGAGGTGACTAGTCATTGGCACTTTGAATGATAGAAAACTTCGGTCTCGAAAAATATTACGTTCATGTTAAAACGTTTGTGGTTAATTGAAAGAAATGCCAAAAAGACAACTGATTGAATTTAATACAGAACAAGATTAAAAATAAAAAAATAAAAAACTCTATAAAAGAATTGAAACTTTAACTTTAGACATCAACGACGCCTTAGCTACTTTCATGATTGAAGAAAAATGGAAAKAAAATATGATTTAATAAATGCTTAAGCAGATGTTTTGCCAGTAATTAATGCTAAGTTTGGAACAAAAGATCAAAATTGAAGTATACAAAGACTCAACTGAAAAAGTATATTTAGGAAAAGCTAAATTGAATATACCTTGCTTTCACGAAGTTGTTGATAAATGGCTCCATTTTTAAAAAGTAAATTTCCGTCATGCCCACCGCAGTTCTTGGATATCCCACAGCGATTTAGCTCGCAAGCCCCAGTTGAAGATCCCACAGCGTAAAACCAGTAATTGTACGATGTGCATTTTTTATCTTGTGAGCAGSTTTCCAGGCAGCCATACCAATCTGTGGTTAGRTCTCGAAATTTCGTTCCTCGTGCTAGAATATGATTTCGGATCGTGAAGGGTTGAAACTCGAAGGAGTTTCGCACAAAAATTGCTACCATTATTCCTATAGAAGCCGCAATTCTACGCATCTTCCGAAAAAGGTAACTCGCGAGTCTTGAGTTATATAGAATTGAGGTTTTTCCTCGCAATCTTTTGTAGGAAAAATGAAAAATTGATTCGACAGAGTTAACGCGGTTATAAATCAAAAATGTACAGAGTAAACAGTCAATCCAGTTACTTTTGAATATTCTGTTCATTAACAGCTAACAATTACGACTTGCCCCAGTTAAAGATAAGGGCTATCAAAAATCTTAAGCYCGTTTTTGGAACCCAAAAAATGTTTCGAATGTACCGGAGCCGGAGTGTCAACGAAGCAAGTTTTGAGGTGTTTAGGAGGTGCTTCATGGTCAAGCTGTGTCAATTATGATCAATCATGTCATTTCATGATGGCTTGTACTTCAAAAGGTTTTATACTTTCAAAGTAAATAACGACATTGGATGGCTTCATTACTAYCKCAAAGTCCTTATTATATCGGCCTCGGCTAGATCTAAAAAGATTTAAAGCAGATTAGTCAACCAAGTCCGCCGGAGATGATGGTTCATTTTCTCATTTGAGACCTGAAGTTATCTTTTACACTTTTATCTCAATCCAAGCAATTAGATTGTAAATTGGATTTAGTTTTTGCAATCAAAAATAGGTACATGTTTAATGTAAAAAGTAAAGAGAATAAATCAGGAAATGGTATTTTCAATTAACCTAAGAAAATGGGGTCGTAGCTCTTGGATGCCAATTGATTTATATGAGAATGATTTGCAGGTGTTAAGACTGCACGATAATAAAT